CCCCCACCCCCACAACCATTCCATGTGACATTCATTCATCAGCCAAGTGCGTTTGGCAAGCCTCCTCACCCACGAGCGTAGTTCCAGTGACCGCTAACCTTGGTATGTCCTGACACTCATGATGAGTATCTGCAGGACACAGGAGGCAGCCAGCTCTGCTATGTCAGGCTTTTATTGTGCACCGAGGAGGCTGGGGGGACAGTCAGCATTATCAACCAAGTGACCCCTGAAGGCCATGCCACGTCCTCCCATGCCACTCTGGGAGCGCCAAGGTGAGGGGCTGACCGGGGGTGGGGGGGGGACGCCAAAAAGGACTCGGGGCAGCCTCTTTGTGTGATCTTGCCCCAGGAGGAGCAACACAATAGCAGCAGGGGCAGAATCCGGGGGGTGGATGCAGATTCTGAAACCTCAGTGGGTTTGTGATACACGCCTTGGCCGCGCAATATGTCACGTCAGAGACATTTTTCCAAATGTATGTTAAATGTACGTTAAATACTAAATAGCTGATTTGTCGAACAATATAAAATAATGGAGTTACTCATGATTTCATATAAGGAGGCGCAAATTAGGAAGCATTGTTTTTATTGCAGGGATGAAAAAGCACACTGGTTTGTTATAAGTTCAGGGTGGGTCTTGCCACATCTGTCGTGTGGTGCCACTATAAAATGAGAATCTAGACCGCTGACAGGATATTGTTCATTGAGCAATGACCCTACAGGCTATAGAATAGCTTACGTACCACTGGATTACCAGTTTACCTGAACTCATAGTCAAACACATTAGGGTGCATTACTGTATCAGGTACACAACAAATTTTGTATGACTGATAGTTGGATATGAAGAAGTTTTTCTCCTCGTGAGGGCTTTGCGTGCTTGATATTCGGGGTGTCGGAGGAGAGACTTCACCCGGGTACCTGTGAGCTGGTGACACATGGAAAAATTGAACATATATAAACTGTTCATGCCACGTGGGCAGGATGCCACTCCTACGGCTGCTCAGAAGCCGGGCATCTGCACACCTGGCATGGGCTGTAACTGGGCAAAGGGGCAGCAGCTGATCGATGGCATTGAGAGCACTGCCTTGCTTCAGCCAGTGTCCTTACCATGTCTTTCATGTGCAACATACGACAGTGGCTGCCGTTTTGTTTATCTGGATATGCACTGGTGGGATTCTCCTCCACACAAGCAAAACATCATAAAATTCATAACTTAATGATGCCGGGGGAATCAAAGTTTCACATTCTCTTCATTATACAATCATCTAATGACTTGCGTCCTATTAAGTAGCATCCAGTATATACTTAGGTCCAGGTGCCCATCAGAACCTTAATAACATTTATTCTGAGACATCTGAAACATATGTAGTGGACCATAACGGATGTATTTTTCTAACAACCCACATAAAACGACTGTGCTGCCACCTTAGACGTTTAGTTAAATGTGCATTATATTGTATCTTGTTATACACTTGTGGGCAAAATTGTGGTAACACCTAGTATTTTTGGCATTAAAAATTACTACACAGCTATAGTAAAATATAAACAGTCAAAGAATGTTACAAATATCATATATTGGATAATTAAATAAGTAACTGGAGCAACAGCTGAATAAAGTCCTGCAATCTCTAAAAACTGGAAGTATTTCCAGTTTTGCCCAGTAATGTACAGTATACTTGACCTGTCCCCGATAAAGAATGAGATACATTTTGACTGACTGACATCCTTTCTTTCAGAATGTAACCCAGACGTAACTTGATGGATGCCTGCATATTCACTTTCCAATGGAAATCTGCACTTAATAATCATGATCATCCACTGTGGAATCTTTTTGTTATGACGTATGTTTTTCAGCCAATCAGTACTGTGACAGCGCTAAGTGAATGAGGTGCTTTTTTTGCTGAGAATGTTAATGAATGCAAAGGTAGCATGTAGTTCATGCTTCAGTGTTTTAAGTCGGAAGTCAGCCAGTGCGGTTCCTGGCCTACTCTGGGGGGAGGTCTCCCAGTTCTTGCTGAAACTAATCATCTTTGCAATGCTGTAGAGCAGGGCTGTCAAGGCTACTAAAGAGATCAGAGGATCATTTGCAGTGTGCCCATGGACCGATCCACTTGGAGTACCCCCGAGTCAGCCGGGCCTCCCAGTTGCTGCCGGGGGGGCGTGGGCGATTAAGCTGTGGTGATTTAGAGGGCTCCGAGAGGCAGCTGAATTCAGTCGACACATAAACCCCCCTGACGCCAAAGCAAAGAGGGTCACAGGGGGTTGGGGCGCACAGGAACCCCCCCCCCCCAACACACACATACATATGAACATACCCCCTTCCCTTCTCCTGCCGCATAAAAGAGTAGCCGTCTCCAAAGTACTACCCATCAAAATCAGTCTGTTTGTACTGTGGGCATCTTTTCTTGGAGACCCTAACTTCACCCAGCTTGGCCACATGATGTGTCAGTACGGCTGGTGAGCATACCAAAGAGGAAGCTCTGTCCAGACGGTCCACATCCATTAATTCGGAACATGAGCGAGGTCCAGGGCTGAAGCAAGGTTTCATAGTTTTGGGGGGAAAAAATCCTGTGCTGAAGGCAGTCCCTGACCTTTCCCTTACAACCAGGCAAAATGGGGCTTCTCTCCCCTCCCTTCAGTTCCCCTTCCTCTTTGCACTGTTTGAGCAACTTCTTGATGGAGCTCTTCTGTCATAAAGTGGCAGGGGCCCTGTTCCCCTTTCGGGCTCCTGATAAGGGTGTGTCATTCATGCTTCTTGTGCCAACATGGAAGTATAAGCGGTCACAGCTCACACACAAAAAAAGTCTTATCGTTATATTAAGAAACAGGAAGTTCAGTGCAAGGGAGTACTGTCTTACCTGTGAGGAAGCTGAACGTAAAACAGGAAGTTCACTCGTAAGATAACATTTGTACTTCATCTTAGCATGATGTACCAGGTGTTTGAAACACCCTGTAGCTGTAAAACATTGTCGATGTATTTGTTTTTTTATTATTATTATTTCTCGTTTTTTCACAAATACATGTATCTGAGTGAGACTTTTTGTGCAAAGACAAGGGGACACAAAGACGTCAGATCACGACTCATTGTGGCAATCCATTTTGTGTCTCGTGTAATTTTATGCGACCCTGATTGCTTGGGATTCTGGGATGGAAATTCAAGTTTCTGGGTGTGAGGGGCAGACAGTGTATAAATCTGGGGCATGGCCTTAGCCTAGCCTTCTGTTCCACATGGGACTGAATTGTGGGTTCAATTGTGCCCCCCTGTTTTTTTTATTTTTTTATTTCTCTTTTAGCCTCCTGCCAGGGTTGAGGAAAAAAAATAAAAAATGTGCTGCTGCCTGTCTCGAAGGAGCTTTCGGCAGCCTCCCTTTGTTAATCAGAGACTTGGGATTGAAACGTGAACCCTTTATTAATGTCACCGTCTCGTTGTGTATCAGCAGGTTCCGGAGCGATTCCTGGAAGTGGCGCAGATCACGTTACGGGAGTTTTTCAACGCTATTGTCGCAGGCAAAGATGTTGATCCTTCCTGGAAGAAGGCCATATACAAGGTCATCTGCAAGCTGGACAGTGAAGTCCCAGAGATTTTCAAATCTCCCAATTGTCTGCAAGAGCTCCTGCATGAGTAAACGTTTCCATTGTTACCCGCCCAACCCCCCCTCCGCCCCCCCCAACCCCTTGAATGTATGAAGTAGCACTCCCATTTTGAAGCCTGACTATTTTGGGACCCTATTTTTTTTCCTTTTCTTCTTGTGAAAGGTCTTTGAATCCACTGAGAGTTTTGACAGTGTGAATCCCCCTTTTTACCTGCCCCCTAACTTGAGGGGGGGTGGGGGGGGGTTACCACTTATACATGGCACGGTGGCTAATTATACTGTTAACCTGAAATTCTCCCATTTGGTCACTAATAGGGCTCCGTTTCGCCGAGAGATGTCTGATGTGTGTGAAGATTTTCTTGCGGAATAAGACAATACATTTACAGATTGTATAGGTGTAATTATTATTTATAATTATTATAATTATTACTATTAATGTTATTGCTTGCTTCGAATTGATACATTATTGATGATCTTGTTTGTTTCATGACGATGCTTCATAAAATAAATTATTCCAAAAAATATTTAAGGGCAGAAATTCTCTACGAAGTATATTTGAGATAGATCGTTCTGTTTGGGTATAGTGAAAACTCTTTTCTCAGTTTGGCCGTTTTTTTTTTTTCTTCTTCTTTTGGCATGAATCCACATTCTCCTGTTTTTCTGTCCACTCTGATAGCACAGGCACTGGGGAGAGGCCTGCTCCCTGGCTTTCTCCTTGACAGAGCAGCCTATTCCTGTAACTAAGCAACGTGGTCATTTCATACAAACGCAAGCCAGTTTTGCACAAAAAAAAAAAAAAAAGATGGGGACGCTTTCCCAGTCGGGGACCACTCTTGTTAATAAAAGCACATCATCAAAATCACACATGTGCATACGCAGACACAGCTGTATACGCAGACGCAGGCACAGATGAACATCCAACAATTACACATCCACAGAGTGAGGGAAGTTGTTTTATAATGTTCAATCAGTACACGGCACTCCCTCTTGCATGTTTTTGCGTGTCGCTGATTTAAATTTATAAGTGCTAGCTGACCATGACCTAAACCAACACAGAGGATATATAGTCATTGAAGAAACATCCTTTTGGACACATAAGTTTCACACATAGTTTTCTTTTTTTAAACTTCTGAAAGACCCCCCCGAGTAAATTAAGTGCTACAAATATGTGCAAATATGTGTAACAAATGTGGCACTAAATGTGGGCACTCTTTGTCCAATTAGCTTTTAAACTATTGTTTTACAGTTACTGTATGATACAGGTTTAAAAAAGAAGACAATAATTGAAATACCTGAAAAAGTAGTAGTTATATTCACCTGTGAGAACGTTTTCATTTGTTTGGGAAATTGTTGCTCCTATGTGTGAGTTTAATTTGTATATAGATGAAAACTGCAGGTGAAAAACAACATGCTTATTTTGAATAGCACTCTCTGAACAGGACAGGTAAATTGTCCCCTGACTGTGACACACTTAAGGGTGCCTTTTGTCATCAGTGCCATTTTTCAAAGAAAAGTGATTCCGGGGTCAGTCGATGCAGTCAGTGTTACTTTTCATACCAAACATATAGTAATATATTGTTCATGCATTGCTGGTCACCAGCAATTGGACTTTGTTGTCACATGATTATGAAATGATACGGCAGGTTTTAAACACAGACTCCAAACATCCTCCCGTATCATCAAATTTCCCATCTCGTAATGCTCAGAGTCGACCATGGGGCCCCACGAGGGGGCCAAGCGACATACGCAAACACGTGCGTTTTTTTTTTGTCTCCGGAAATCCAGCTGATGAATTGAAATGTGCCCCCCCCACTCCCCCACCTGCAATTATCGTCAGCACAATGCCTTAAAAACCTGCTGACTTCCAAAACGAAGGAGTACAAAAGCTTGCGAAGTCCCGCCGTTATGCCCGGGGCCCTGGCAGACTCGGCCAGCCTCTGGACAATGCAGACAATAGTGGGAACAACGTGCCAACGTTTTAACTGTGTTTCGAAAGGAGGAAACGAGTGCAGTGTTGCTAAACCCCATCATTATCACTCATGCCGCTACCCCTTCATATGAACACATTTTCAACTGCTTTACATGAAACTTTATCTTCAAACAAATAATAAAGTGAAAGCAAATACCTACTCAAGAGAACTCCAAGAAAGCATATTAATTAGTGTTTATAAATTTATGGCAATTAATTTTTTTACCTCTTTCTACAACATGTTTGTTACCAGAAGTCAAATTGTGAGACAATTGCTACACTTGATGCCGTTGTTATTCTTTGCAGTATTTTTATGATTTTGGTTCTCATGAATATCTGTGATTTGGTCCATGCCGTTCCCGGTTCACTTTCTGCAGATTACTAATTGTTAGCACTGGAAAATGACAGCATTGGAAAGGTTTTTTTGTGTGTGTGTGTGTGTGTGTGGTATTAACCAACTAAATGCCCCCACGATGTGGTAAAACCTGGTATTTTTTAGTTTGTAGAGACATTTTTCAGGTCCCCACAATCAAAAAACTAAAATAGCCAAAAGTCATGAATTTTGGTTAGCTACATGTGGTGAAGGTATGGCTGGGTTGGGGTTAAGGTTGTCATTGTTGGGATCACAGTTATGCCCATAAAAATTAATGGATGGTCCCCACAAAGATATGAATACAAACACGTGTGTGTGTGGATTAGGTTTATATTACATTGTGAGGACCAAATGTGGTCATGTTGGGATTAGAGTTTTCCCCAAAGAAATTAATAGAGTCCCCATAAAGGTATAATTACAAACCTGCGTGTGTGTGTGTGTGTATATATATATATATATATATATATATATATCTGTACACTTTAATGGGTGACAGATAAGAGTGGTAAGGCAAAGAAATCAAAGATAAGACAGCATTTATTGGGCAAGAAATATTGTTATTTGTACTTAGTCTCATCTAAACATTGCTCCTCTTTATGTTCTGTTCAGTCTCTTAGCTTCTTGACATTGACATGAAAAGCCTATGGACTTCCAATTTTGTGCACAGTGTAAAACTTAAAGGCAAAAAGGCCAGAGAGTCTCATCCATCCATCGCTAATCATTGTGAAACTAATTATTCTGATGTTGAGATTTTTTTTTTTGTCAGATTAACTTTCCCTGTTGTATAATGTGATGTTATGGTTGCCTGTGCCTAGACTTTGTGAACCACCAGCGGAAGGGTTACATACCTTCAAAAATGAAGTAAAAGTAGTTTTTAAAAGAAAATGCTCTGTCCCTCCATTCCGAAATGTAAAATAGCTATTGTGCCTTTTGTGGCAAAAGCTTTCATCCCCTTTTATTAATTACCATATTTATTATTATTATTATTAATATTATTATTATTATTAGAACCGCAATAAATAATGCATAGAATTTGGTATTTGTTTTGTTTTGCTACTTAATAGAATGATTACAGCTATGCACATGCTGTGTCTTTTTAAATGAAATCAAACGTGATAACTATTTCAAAAATGGTAACGGTGAAGTAAACAGTTTTTGAAGAGTAAATTTTTAGAAACATTTGATAGAGCAAATTATTTTTTCTTAATGTCTGAATGGCATTCAAGTTACAAAGATTCTCGTAGGAACCAATCATTTTGTAACTGTGGTGCAAAAACCCTTTTTTAGGCTATTCAAAAGTAGCATAGAAGCAATATTCCAGTTAGTGTGTGTGTGTGTGTGGAGGTGTGTGTATGAAGTCTTTTCCCCAATTTACATTATAATGATACTTTGTTTTTAAGTTTTAGCAATTATCTCTGTAAAATGGTTTGTTTGCATCTTACATTTCACAGATATGTATAGAAGAGTATTTTATTTTATTTTTTTGCTGTTTCAAAAAGTGAAGGATGTTTTTAAGCTATAAACATTTCTGTTGCCATTAACAAAACAGATTGGACGCTAGAGTATTATAAATTACAAGTCTGACACTGAAGTGGCAAGGAGAATGAAACTTGAAGGTTACTGCAAAACACTTGATCTGATCTATAATTCTTCACCATGGTAATCTCCAGTTTACATGTACAAAAATTGTTTTAATTGACCCTAGAAATCTGATACATTTTCTAGTATACTGTATATAGTGAGTTACATATGTATACAGTATATATACAGAATGTATATAACTACATTTGGCCACACTGAAACTGATCTATCAAGTAAGTCAGATTAATTCATTTTTCTGATTAATGATAATGTTACACCCTGCCTGAATTGTCAGATACAAAGAGACAACCAGGCCTCCCTCTCTGTCTCTCTCTCTCTTGGATAGGTTTGTGCTGATAACTCGAATGACATGAGAAACCATCACACAGCTCAGCGGTCTGGGCAACCTGAAATTGTATTTTCAGTTCTAATGTGGGAGTTACGACAAAAACAAAAAAAAACACTAGTGCACTGGTGCCGTTTAGCTTTCCGTTGACCTCGGCCGTCCCCTTCAGCAGCAACTCAATTTGTTCAAAGCCAGCATGTGTTTGAGCTTATGTCGGTCTATTTATTTATTTACTTTATTTATTTATTACCGCTGTTGTTTCAGTGAAAGGATTAGACATCGTCACTTTTTATACACCTTTTGTTGTTCTTTTACCGTTTCAAGATTCACCTGGCTAGGTTTCGATTACCGTTTTCCAAAAAAAGAAACTTTAAAATAAAATATTTTTAATATGTTACAAAGAAACAAAGTGTACATTGTAATTCTGTTAGGTGTAGGGAGAAACTAAATGGAAAGTGTGAACATTGCTCTGTGTAAATTATACGTTTCATGGTATGTGAGAGATTACGTTCTCTCGCTGTTTTTTTCCCCCCTAGTGGTCTTGTGTATGTAAATATTAAGAAAAAGTGGGAAAACACTGCCTTTGTATTATTTAGCAATATGTTGTAAATAGCATTGTTATGCTTTTTTGTATGAAAAAAATGATTTTGTGCAGTAACTTCAACTGATATTGTCATGATTTCATATTATATAAATATGATATATAATATGATTTGTTTCATATTTGAATACCCATATATAGCTAATGATCTGGATTGTGGATTTTTGTTGTCATTTTTGTCATGCGGATTTTGCATAATTTATTGGTTTAATTTATGCTAATTTATTTAATGAAGGTGTACATTTCTTTATTACCAACAATGTACTGTAATACCATACAGTAGAATTCAACAATATGAAGCCCTTGACGATTACGTAAGTGCAAGCAGCCAATGGAATTTTTTTTTAAAAAAAAGCTTGTTCCAAGATGAGCTTGGCAGCTAGTAAAGTCAAGAAGAAGAAATGTACAAAGTTTTTTTGAAAGTCTAAAAAGTTTTTGTGTTTTTTGTGTGTTTTAGGCTTTTGTATACTATAAGACTTTTTCCTTTGCTTTGTACCATCTACACAATACAGTAGTTCAATTGCCTCGTGTGCCTTCCATCTTCTCTGAACTGAATGTATGTGCAGTATATATATGCAAGCTTGTGCAAAATAAAAACAAATTCCAAACGTCTGATCTGCAGCGTTCAGTTTTTAAATAGCCTGTTCACCAGGT